AAAAATGGTGTTAATAAATGCAAAGAAGAAATAAAAATAAGTGGGTTCAGAGGCAGACCAACTCCAACACAAAATTATAGATCAAGTCAAATCTCAAACGTTTGGAATGATTTTCAATCACAGGAATCATACAAGGTTATGGCACTCAAATCACCATGCAATTAGAATATGGGTAACCAATTGAAAACAATTTTATTTTTAAATTGATAAAGAAAAACAATTTGCTCGTTTCAAATTGACTTGATACTTACAAAATACGGCAGGCTCTTATTTTATTTCAGGAGTACTCTTTACATCAGGTTATCAAGTTACATGCCTCTTTAGGTACAAGATTTCAGTTTCCTAGTTGAATTTTCATGATGTATGCTGGATTGAAATACAAACTCAACCAACCAATCTTAAAGAATTGAAGAAATTCGCTGATAGAATCTAATCCATTTACTTGCATCCTGTTATAACAGGAAAACATGCAGAGCCCATACGTTTGTGGCTTGCTTAATGAAGCATTTGATGTATCAACTCTGTAATCTCCTGGGAAGCAACAAGTAGCTTCTGGCTTCGTTTATGCTCAGTTACCCCTTTTATCTTGGGATTTGTAGTATCTTACAGCTGGTAAAGCATCCTTTGCTTCACAGTAGAGAACGAAAATATGATTGTATTGTTGAAATGCTACAGCTAAACATTTATATCACACACTCAGTGCTTGGTTTTGTTAATTAGGTTTAAGTGAGCTAACCCTACAACTAATTATGTTGATTTTGGCAATGCTCTTTGAGCTTTAGTTCATTGAGGGAATACCACCTTCGCTCTCACCCTGAAATTGTGTTCTGAGTGAAAAGGAAATAAATGATTCACACTTGAGAAATTTGATATAGGGATATTGTAATAATAATTCTTGCATTTGATATAGAGCTTTTCACGTCTTCTAGACATCTCAAAGCGCTTCACAGAATATACTATAAAGTGAATTGATTGTATATTTGTGGGCAAAATGTATAGCATCTTCAGATCAAGATTTTTTAAAAATCCTCTTTAGGTACGCAATGTCAGTGGTGACACGATAACCTGCAGGGTCCCATTTTTAGCACGGGAGTCTAGCTCACTGCTCAGTGTACCACGCTTCTGTCATACAAAATAAGGTTTGTGAAATAGATAGCCAAAAGCCTAAACATCTGGCTTGGCATATTGTGCCAGATATCAGTTCCTTCACACATGCAGAAGTCTCACAGAAAACACAGCTGATGTCAAAAATACAATTTGCTGTTGATGTCGTCTCCTGCACATGTACAATCAACTGCGGTAATCTCTAATACCCAAGTCATCTTGTATTGTGGTACTGAGAGAACATACAAGTGATCAGATCATCTCTCAAACGCCTATTAACCTCACTTGAAGTTGAGGCTAAAGAAATATAAGAGAATAAGGGCAATCTTCCGCCAACCTTTCTTGCTAAACAATTCTTTTTTAAAAACAAGGAGATGAATGCCTAACTGAAGAGTGGAAAGGGGGTTGAACATCATCATTTTCTGTTTTGTGGCTTTTCTCAATGATGAACACACACTACTTCAGACAGCCATATTCAAGTTGGACATCAAACAGATATTAAGGGTTAAGAAGCCATAATCCACAGACTCTAGAAAAGCCACAGGTTACTATTCTAAATTCCTTCCTCAGCATTGTTAAGAGTTCTGATTCACTTGACATAACAGTTAAGTTGACTAATGGGCCGCAGTGATTGAGACATTGTGATGGCTTCTGAGGTTACCATGGGTTCCATAGAAGTCAACAACAACAAATTAAACTTTTTTTAATAGTGCCTTTCACTTCAGGAGGACATCGCAAGGCGCTGGACAGCCAGGGATCCGCACCTTTGGAGAACGTCTATGCCTGGAGGGCTAGGGGTTATTCGATGCCTAACCTTATTTAACATGGACATCTCCAAGTGTTGTGTTCACCTGCCTTGACTTCAGAAATTGATTTTTAACCGCCCCGTCAACTGATGTTTCATCCAAGTGAAAAACTGCAGACATCGTGCCTCACCAAAAGGGATTGGAAGTTAGCCTCTGATAGCAAAAGGCAAACATTCTTACTATTAGTTGTGGGGTGAAAATCTCACATTTTTTAATATCTTTGCTAAATATTAAACCTGTGTAGATATGAATATTAATTCTTGGGAAAGTCTGAGTGAGCCTAATTATTTTGCGAAATCACCTACAAAATAGAATCACTAACTACACTTTACAGTAAATCCTATTTAACTTTTCGACAGAGATTTTCAAGTGAAAGGATATCTCAAATACAAGAATTATTCAATTTTGCTGGATGCAAAGAATAAGTGATTTGCCTTAAAATACAAGATGCCTTTGAAACTATGCATTGGATATGGCCTGTTGAAATGCCTATTAAAAATACATTATCTAAAATACATTTCCAATATCAATCAAAATGACAATGATCTCATTTTGTACTTACTATAAAAGCATGAATGAACTGAACATTAATCAAATGTAGGCATAACTCCACTTTAGTTAACTAATCAGAAAAAATAAAATATTTAGCAGACATTTTCAGTTTCCAATTTGCTGTGATTTTGAACCTTATAGCCGTTCATTACTCAAGTCACAACCACCAGTTAGTTGGTAAAATGCCAATATTAATCAGGCAACAAGGTGGAGAGTTGCATAGGGCAGGAACTGAAATTGCCTCCCTAAGGCACCTCACTCTAACTAACTGAGTGGCAAAGTTCTGGAGATTCCCACAACCCAGGCCTTGAACATCCTACAGTGAAAAGTTTTGTACCAAGTGACCTGTACACTGATCAGAAGAAAAGTGGTTCAATAGTTAGCAATCTGTCTCATCACTATCACGAGAATGTGATTTTGCCAGTGGCGTAAATCCCAGTTTGAACAGTTTGGCAGTGAATACAAACATTGGGATCTAGGTCACTTTTACTGACATTCAAGCTTTAACAGTTTACTTTTTTTTATTAATCTTCAATCTTGGCAACATAAGAGATCTTTCCATACATTTACTTCTGCAGTCCACTGGACCTAACTAAGTGGGTGAGCAGCAACTAATTCCAAGAACCTGCTGTGTAATCAGACAGTTCAGAGTACAAACACATTTTTCTTTTAGATTTCCCTCATTCATTCCTAAAATGTAACCTGCACCTTCTAGTTTCTGTAATCAAACTTACAACTTATAAGTCCATCATTCACACTGCATTAATACTAATGCCATTTATATTCTAAACTATATTGTCTGGTTTCTAAACATCTATTAGAGTTTGTGATTTATGATTCAAAACTCTGCACCATCTCCTACATTCTCATTCTTTACCATGACCTCAAGATAAAACTTCTTGCCTCCCTGTCTTACTTTGCACCAAAAATCTACAAGCTTTTAAAAGCTGTTTTGACAATGTCCAACAATCTGTTCTTACCTAATCTAGTTTGTCTGCCACTCTTTCCTATTGTGTTGATGTGCTATACTCAGCATAGTAACTCCCTATGGCATCTACACAAATGCATTTAGTACAATCTTTTACACAAAATCAGAGAATTGAATACTGAATATTGGAGAGACTTAAGTAATATCTGCACAATATCACAATGAGCACATTAGCAAATTTATGAACCATGTGTTCAACAGCAGACTGTTGAAAAACAATCGATGAAAAGCACTCTACATGGTGCTTTAAACTAAACATTTTAAGCCTCAAAACAGCTGGCATTTATTAAATCTAAAAACCAACTAACAGTACACTAGAAAACAGAAACTATTTAACACCCATGTGCTGCATCATGAGATCTGTGAGCTGCCAAAAATAAAGCAATACAAAGTTCTCCTGATATGAAAAAACACTGATTTCCTGTAATTCCCCACTTTCAGATATGAATCTCAGCAATGTTCTCCTGGGAAAAGAATGTAACCCTGGGGGCAATTCTGCAAGCCTTCTGGCAGTTAAACTCTCTGAACCAGATTGGACATGACCTGGAAGTAAATTGCTCACCAACATGACTGAAGATTGTGCAGAATACCCAAATTGGAGAAGAGGCAAGATGGAGAAAACCTCACAAAATAGACCTACAGAAGAAAACTACCTAGCAAACTCAAAAAAATGAGTGTAGAATCTGCTGTTCATTTTTAAAACACATCTTAAATAAGCATAAGTTATAACATTACAAGTTTATCAACAAAGGAGTCATATATGTGTACAGCAGTTCCTGCACAAGACTTTACAGAGAATAAGCAATTAACTCAGTAATTTTGGAGTAAACAAAATGTTCCCTATGTAAATAGATTCAAATTAGATTAAATAATTGTTTATCTGACGGGCTGCACTGACAGACTGTGTACATTTATATCAATAATACAGAAAAATTATCAGATTCTTTATTAGGTGCAGTAGGAATGTTTTCAGTCATGGTAGGATATTGTTGAATTATAAAATCTTCCTGAAACTAATTTGCGAGGAGGATATCCTGAATTTTATAATAGGAAATGCTTCATTGTTCTTGAACGCTTACATAAGGTCTTAAAGAGTTGTCCTACTGTAAATACGTCTTCTCCCTAATCTTGGGTTCCTCTAGATCACCCATCACATCCTTGGCCGAGGGGACCAGTGACATACACGCTTCAACATTTCTACAATGGTGCTATCAACAAGGAACTGGTCTGGTTGGGAGATGCACCGGATGGTTCCACCTGACTAATTCCACGAGATTAGGAATACACTGTCCAGAGGGCGACACTGCTGCAAACCCATTAGAGCACTTCACAAGACACTAGTGCTCGAGTGCGCAAAGGTTGACTGCACTACACTACAATCATTTCACTTATTTTAAAAGGAAAAGCTTGAGAGGTTATTTTACCACAACACAGAATGCAAAGCTGGAGAGGCAACACCACAACCCCTGGCCAAGCAACATAAAAGACAGAATTCGTAGGTGCAAACATATTTACACTGTTAAGCTTTCTCAAAAAAAGTGTATACATACAGACTTCAGCCTCTTCACAGCTTCCTCACAGATGTGCATCCCCCGAGATTCCTCAACCTCCACATGGCCCAAATACTGGAAATGAGAGGAAAAGAGAAAAATTATTGGCAATCGTTGCATGAGTCTGTAAAACTTACCGCAGCTTGATTTTTCTAGAAATTGGGAATAAAAAGCAAAAGACTGCCAACCGGGAAGTTCAGTTTCACAATACATGTGTGTAAGGAGTTCACATAAATATCTTAAAACAAATGTTGCACATTTTTATGAAAAGGAATGGCCAGGGTACTGTTTCCTGTATTGCTGGATGCATCATTTTCATTGTGGGTTTTTCTACGTATATAAATTGCAAGAGCTGGTTGTTGGCTACATGCATCACACTCAAATCTGCCAACAACAACGTGCATTTATATAGCACTGTTCACACGGGGTAACGTCTTAGAGCACTTAACAGTGAAGGAGCTTGACGCCAAGTTGGGGAGAAGGGGAAGGTGACAGTAGGTATGGTAAAAGAAGAAGATCTTCAGGTAGGATCTGAAACAGGGAAGAAGAAGGCAAGGCAGAGGGATTGAGGAAGACAGTTCCATAGTTTGAGCGTACTGGCTGAAAGCATGATTACCGATGGTGGAGGGGATCGGACAAGGGACGTGCACGAGGTCAGAGCCTGCTGACGGAAGGCTTCAGACAGTGGAGTGGGGCGTACGTAGGTCGGAGAGGTAGGGAGGTGCCCAGGGCATGAAGGGGCCCAAATACACCCTCAACTGGGAGTAAGTAGGTAACTCCCAATATCTTCATTCACCCTGTATATGGCCATAGTATCCAAACTTGAAACAGAGGATATGACAGTTCAAACTGCAGATACTTCACAGAGAATGCTAGAGCTACACATTCAGCTGTTGGAATCAGAAGTATCGCTGCTTAAAATATTGCTTCAGCTCAATTAGATATGCTTATGCAATCATTAATCTGTATTAGAATGATTTGCAGACACTATCAAGAGTTAGCTAAATTGTAGAGTTTATGTAGAGCGCAACTTATGTTATTGGTTGGTTGGTATAACTTTAAATAAAAATGATATACAAATGACAGTATGTGTGCCTTGAAGAACTAAATTGGTTCCGAAATAAGAAATGTGTATCACAACAACGAATTCAATTTTTTATAGCACCTTTCAATTCGGAAAGGTCAGCTCTCTTGTTAGTTGTTGAAGTAATGGTCCTACATAGTTTTAATTTGAATCAGCTCATGGGTACTATACTCAAGGACATTCCCAGCTTGTTTAAACCGGCCCAAAAACTATCAGGGAGGTGAAGACGTGCAGATTTATATGGACCATCCTGAGGTTTTTTTTAAAAAAAGGCAATAATAAAAGTATAGCTAACCTATACTTTGTTCAATCATAATTGGCCATCTGAATCTTCAGTACGACTTAGTGAAAGAGCGACTTTGTGTTCTGCTCCTTCAGGAAGGCAGACCTTCTACCCGAGGTTCTGCGACTCAAGTCACTTGAACTCAACTGTTCCAAGGTTCCAGCAATGTCGGAAAAAAGCAAAAGAAAATAATAGAAGAACTGCAACGATACACAAGAATACAGCTGCAACACAACTGTTAGAGATTCAACTTAGATCCTTTGATTCAAAGCCCGCTATTACTAGCTCAGCAGAGGGTTAACTCGACTACTGGCCATACTTCCCAGGCTGAACAGTTGTTAATTCTACTACTGGCTGTACCTTCAAACAAACCCAAGCAAGAGATGTCCGTCTGATGCTTATGAATTTTGATATTGACTTTGACATTGTCATTACAGTAACATTGCTATACGTGAGCATAACAGCATATTGTAACCCTGCCAATTGTAACCAGGTTATTGAAAGAATGCAACTTCTTCCCCTTATTAAGTAAACAAGCTTTAAAATATAAATATAAGTGACTTTGGTTTCTCTGTTAATGGGTTCCAAATATGACATTTCAACTAACAGAATAAACCGGTCTTTTCTAGCCACCTTTCTCCCAGAACTGCAACAGTGTGGTTTAACTCCTCTACTAACCACACCTTCGAATCCAACACAGCTGACTCACAAAATGTAGGAATTGTAAATGTTAATGTAACAAACATTTGGATTCAGTTTGCTTGAAAGATATTTACAATTCCAAATTTCACTTTTACCTGTGGCTGTAAATAAACGGATTAAATCAAACCAAGGTACCAGTTGAATTGCACTAATGCACTACATGATTACTTTTACCACTGGCTCATTCAAGCTACATGGATGAAAATACAATCTTTGCCATAAGAAAAGTCTCAATTTAAAAAAAGTATTCTGAGACTACTGCTTTAAAATGAGATTAAGTTTTATTTATTTTATGTACGTAACTTTAGCTGCAATATACTGATCAATAATTCCTCCAAGCTCTAGTAGTTATTCAATTTGGTGTTAAAATTGTACATTTTATCTGAAGAAATTATAAAAATCAATTATATTTCTCAATATATGCAATATTTCACCAAAGTCCTATGAAATAACTCAATGCAGCACAAATATCAGAAAATTATAGGAGTTTGTTAAAAGTCAAACTATTTGTTAAAATAACTATTTTCATTTTACTTGCTACACAGTTTGGAAAATCCAAAAGAGGAAAAAAGAATTTTACCTATATAATAATGCAACCACTTTTTGTGTTCAAGGTCAGGGATGTCAGACTTTGGAAATGAAACATTTTGGGGACCCACAGTCAACAGCACTCTCACGCTGGGCTATAGATATGCAGTGTCTAGGGCTGAAATTAAAGCTTACTTTTAAGACCAAATTGAGACATGCAGAGCTCAGTTACCAACACAAAGAAAAGCATTCTTGTCTACTATTTATTGGTATGAATGTAAACCACAGATGAAAAAGGCAGCTATTGCACTGAAACTATTGTGCAGCTATTGATTTCTTTCAAGGTAGTTTCAATGACTAGACTGACAACTTAGTAGTTTTAAAATAGAAGGTAAAATGGAAGACCACATGAAGCAAAAACAGGGACATGTTTGTTGTTCACTTAATCCATGGATGGTCCACTCTCTGTTACACTGTAGTTATACAGTAGATATTACATACAATTGCTCTTTTGATGACTTGCAATTATTACTATTATATTGAAAAGTGTGAGCAAGTTCTATAAAAAGTCACCAAAATCAGTATGGTTACTGTCTCAGTGAAGTTGGTGCTAACTGTGAACAGCCTACTTTGAGAATACCTTTAAATGTGGATTAACTTGGCTTTAGAAATTTGCTGAAACTAGTTTGTAACCCCTGTTGGATTTCTTAACTATGTGGCCAGAGTTGTGTGTATTAATGTGCTAAGCAATGAGATAAAATGCGACACTCCACCAAAACAGATTATTGTATCATGCAAATGTAACTCACTGGTAGTACAACAACAACTTGCACTTATATAGGGCCCCCATTCAGGGTAGGGTCTCAGAGTGCTTAACAGCAGCAGAGCCTGACTCTGAGTGGGGGGGGGGGGGGGGGGAGAGAGAGTCAGCAACATTTGATCAATGTCGCTCCACAGTTTTCTCAAGTCAATGCCTGCCAGAAATACCATGAAATTCATAATGAATACAAATGTCTCATTTGTGAAACATTTTAATCTCTTGCATGGAAGCAAATGTCAGGATGCACTTCTGTTTTTCCACTAGCCTCCAATCCAAAAACGCCATCAGTTACAATATTGAAATTCACATCAGGTACACAGTTTTTGCTAGAACAAATTTCAGAGTGTTACGGGGGGGAAAGGGGGGGGGGATCTGTTTATTTATAGAATAATTCATGGATCTGGTGTGCTACGATTTAAAATCCAGTCGATGCTCAATAACAAGTTAGTCAACTCATTGTTATACTAAGAAAAAAATTAAATGGACATTAATCTCTGGAATAATACTTAGAATCAAAAAGAACATCAACTGTTCCTTTAATTACTCAAAAGGGCAAATATTTGGATTCTCTATAGACTAATAAAAAATATTTAAATCTAGTTAAATATGCAATCAGTGCCTTACATGCTAATGAAATCCCAGATTAGTTTGATTTTAGCATCAAATATGTACACAACGCAGCTTTATAAAAAAAATCTTGTAGCACTTTTATACCATGTCTGAGTTATTGGCATTGGATCTCAACCAACCAAACTGAACAAGCAAATGGAACTTCAGTTTAATATCTCACCTGAAGGATGGAAGTCTCTTAATGCAGCACCGTCCTGTACTGCATTGTAATATCATTCTAATTATGCAAGTTGAAAATTCCTAACTATTCAACTTGCATTCATTTCAATCCACAACCTTCCTACAGCGGCAAACGTGCTATTCAATTGATCCAGCTCACACCTAGTCAATGTAGCTAGTGGACATTAACCGGTTAAGTGGCTGGGAAAACTTGAAATAGTCATTCTATGAAATATTGGCAAATGCTGTCAAGGCCTGTGGCGGTGGGGTGATGAAAGAGAGAGAAAGAAAGAAGAATTGGCGCAGGAAGTGAACAGAGAATGGGTGTGTTGATGAACTTCCTCAAACTGACTAAGGGGTACAGCTCATCTGTTAGTACACTGGCATACAGCTCATTTGTTAGTACACTGGTGTAAAGCTCATCTGTTAGTACACTGGGGTACAGCTCATAAAAACGGTAGGTTTCAATTCAAGAATATCTGGAACCTCTGATTTGTCAATAAAATGTCCCAGAGGTACAAAGTTTGTTAGATGTTGCCACTGACTGGGGAAAAAAATTTTGGTTACTCAATCCACAACGGTTTATGGGAAACTGCTGTGCGCCACGTTTCGCCCCAAAATATACAGTGAATTCACTTTACAGCGTATTCCGTGAAGTGCTTTGAGATGTCTCAATGACATGATAAGGCACTATATCAAATGCAAGGATTATTATTATACTACTGCAATATTTGCTCCACCAATATGTTGAACAATTGTGGACAGTTGTATAAAGGATACACAATGGGAGGAAATCTATTGTAGGAAAATGTGAGGAATAATGCCTGGAAACCACAAAGGATACTTGTACAGAAAACAAAGTTAAACTT